TTAATAGGGACTTGATTGTATACAGTTACAATTCTCACTCACCTTATAATTACTACCCTAAATGGAGAGCACTCAGCTGCGCTGAGCCACTGCAGGAAATAGGCAGCCTTTACCCATCTGGGAGAAGAGGTGGCAGACAGAGCCCAGCACCCTGAGCTGGTGCTGCTTCTTTTTCTCCATCAAGCAGGACAGTATTCCTACTCCTTGAGTGCGCATTTAAATCTTCTAGCTTGCACAACTGTTTCTGTAGCCTTTTCATGTAATCATAGAATCATAGAATCGTTAGGGTTGGAAAGGACCTTAAGATCATCTAGTTCCAACCCCCTGCCATAGGCAGGGACACCTTACGCTAAATCATATCACCCAAAGCCTTGTCCAACCTGGTCTTGAACACTGCCAGGGATGGAGCATTCACAACCTCCCTGGGCAGCCCATTCCAGTGCCTCACCACCCTAACAGGAAAGAATTTCCTTCTTATATCCAACCTAAACTTCCCCTGTTTAAGTTTTAACCCGTTACCCCTTGTCCTATCACTACAGTCCCTAATGAAGAGTCCCTCCCCAGCATCCCTATAGGCCCCCTTCAGATACTGGAAGGCTGCTATGAGGTCTCCACGCAGCCTTCTCAAAGGCTTCTCAGCCTTTTGCTAAGCTCTGCCTTTCTGCTACTGCCTATATCACTGCACCTACCACTGAAGGAAGCATCTTTGCTGTTCACATTAGTATATGCTGTCATTGCATGTTTTATTGTCTTCTTTCTTTCTTTCCTTTTTCCCCATTAATGAAGATTGGGTTGAGTGTACTCCAACTGGTTTAAATACTTCTAAAAGCCATTCACCTGCATTAGAAATAAACAGCTGGCATACCAACATTTTTGTCTTTTCTGGCTGCTCAGCTTCACCAGGGCTATTCACAGCTTGCACTCTACTAAGGTCATTGGTATCACTGTTACATATTTCCTGTATTACATGAGGATTGGGTTCCAGTAGTTAACAAGTCAAAAAATATTCCTGGGGGTGGGAGAGGAACTAGGTAGATAAGTGTGTCCCGCATGTCCACTTTATTTTTGGAATTGCTGCCTTCATCCATATGAGAGATAACTGTGATCGAACAGTTAGTTACCCCAAATCATACAGAACTGCTTTTAGACTCTGCACACAGAATGTCCACCTTGGCCAAAGTATGTTGGGACCTCAACTGCTAGCTGCTGCTGAGATTCTTTATAGTCTCTGGGCCAAAATTTGCACTACTGTAATTGGGAATAGCTCCTATAAAATCAGCATCTCCACATTTATTCTCTTGAAATTCAAAGCCGGATTTGACCCACTGTCTGGATAGAGTCCAACTGGAAGATAGGGGCCAGATTCAGCTCTGACTTACAGGAGAGTAGATGAGAATTAACTCTTCTGCAGTTAATCAGGCTCAGTCCTCATGTGTGTCACACTGATATAACTGTCCTGACCTCAATGGAATTGATCCTAATTTATGCCACTGTAACTGAGATTGCAGCCTGCATTGTTTAAATTCTGTTGGGTGCGCCTTCTTCCAGGATGGAAACTATTTGCAAACTATAACAGTCTCTTTCCTAACATTGAGGCTTGCCATAACTGAAATTTTTGGTGGGGCTAGGGTGTGGAGAAAAGGACATAAAGCCAACTTTGTGCTTAGTGCTACTGTGTAACTTTAAGTCCTGCAGTGTTCTGTTAAATTATCAGTGCCTAATTAGGAGTACTAGAATATGCCTATCCTCTTATCCAAATATAGAGGTTGTGTTTCAAGATCACCCAAAAAGAGGGAGATAACTTTAGGAAGTTCAAAATAAAACATGGTGATTTTGTGCAGGCCTTTCCTCATACATGGGCTTCCCTGCTAATTGATTTCTCTTGCCTTTGCAGCTTCTGTTTTTATCCAGCTGTACATAATACATTTCTGAAGCATACGATGAATTGGATGCTGTGCAGCTGAAATATCACATCTCAAATGGCTCACTTAACATTCTCATACTGAACTGACTGCCTGAGTTGTGGCTTTGACAAGGGGAATAGTTGCTTTTCTCTCAGAACACTGTAAGTCTTAAGTGCAACATAAAGAATCCTTCACCTAGAAAGAAATTATACACATATATATATATGTTTTTATATATATACAGACATATGTGTTTGTATGTGTATAGATTTGGAGTAAAAAGCAACTCTTGTCTTCTTTTGATTGCACTGGAAATGTTCATTTTGTCAAGCTTACCTTTTCCCCTGGTAGCAATGAAATTTGGCCAGGAGTCACAGCACACCATAAGGAATCAGGCTGTGACCACAGTAAGCACGAATGGCTGGGAAAGGTTATAGCGTGTAACACTATGCTATGGTGACCTCTTACAGAGTTAGAGGGTGGGGAGTGTGATGCTGGGTCAGATAGATAACTATTACAAGAGAAGCACAAAGCGAAGTTCAAAGCTGCTTTTGCTGTTTACTCTTTCAGGATGCTTTGGTGAGGACTTTTTATTTCGAAAACTTCAGCTGCAGGGCTTGTAGCTGACCTTCCAGAATCAAACCAGAGCATGCCTTAATTTTACCTGCAAGTACACTCATGGCATATTCCTACTTATTCTACAACGAAATCGAAAAGCTTTTCTAAAATCTAATGTACAAAGTGACTGCTCAAAACAGGCTGCCAGAGATTTTCAGCCACAGTGAAATAAAGCACTGTGTCATGCAACCAGTAACAGGAGTAGGTTGGTGGATCTCTCCTGTGGTAAGCTGTAGAGTTGTTCTACTGAGCAGGCATTCTCTTAATGAAAAAAAATAATAGAGATTCCAGGGAATTGTTTATACCACTGATTAAATTTGTTCCTTAAATCTTCATTTTTCTTCTTGAAATACTGAATTAAATGCAGATGGAAAAAAAACCAAAACTAAAACCAGAGATTTTTGAGGCTGCCTTATTTCTTTCTCTTTTAATTTCACTTATTTACTAGCTCCAGTAGCCCAAGAGATAGCACCATTTCAATGTAGCTCTGAAGGGAATTTGGCTTGATGTTTTGTAAGGCAGGCTAGGGAAGAGCGTGGTCTTAAAATAGACACAGGGCAGAGTACCTGAAATCAGCTTCCAGCATCACACTGAAGCACAATGTGAGCTTTGATTTGTGGAGTGGCATACCTGAACAGCACAGTGAAAACTTTCAAGATAACCAGAACCAGGGCTGCAAAAGATCTGCAGTGTCCCACCCTTTTACAGCAGCAAATATGTTCTAGTGAAGACCATAAAACAGGTTTGCTTGGGTCTAAGACTGCACACCTTTGTGTGGAATCTCTTGTGAGTTATCTTTCTGTGAAAAGCAGGCAATCCAACTTTCTCACACCTCAGTTGGGATATATTTCAATTTTTGTTGAAAAGATCCCTGAAGCCAACAGAAAACTAACTTGGCATTTACAAATTCTGGCTCATGTATCATGGATAAGGTCTAAGAATAATTAGGATTCAGGTATCTAAAAGTTCAGTACTACAGCCTCGCTTAATAATATAATCCAGACCTGTACGCTGGGCATAGGTATCAGATCAATGGCAATAGCACGCTGACTAGGGAAGTGCCTCAATTCAGTGTACTCGCTAGGCAGCTGTGTATTGTCCCAATAGAAATACCACCTCTTCCTCAGGTGCAGAGCAGCAGAGGATTAGTGAAAGCCAGTTCTTGCAAGAACTTCTAGATTAGCAGGAGTTTGGAGCACGTCCTGCATCCTAGAAAGCTTAAGTTGCTGAGGTCATTTAAGGACTGCTCCAGCACAGACCCTGCTGCCTCGGTTTCATTTCCAATTGACATTCATCCAGCCTGTTCTTAAAACCTCTGTGAAAGAACACCTCCATAGCTCCTCAGAAAGGAAGCTGTGTCTGAGTTGCTTCTTAGCATTAGAAAACTTTTCCCAATGTCCAGTATTAGCCTTTCCTGCTACCTGTTACGTTGATCTCACTTGTCTTCCTATCTGCTAAGCACATTTCATGATTTTCACACCAGCCTTTACTCTGTGTACACTCCCTTATCCCAGCTATCTCTTCTGCACAATTCTTCTCCAGTTATTAAATCCAAGTTGTATTTTCTAGATTTGTTTCCTCTCAGAGCTCTTATATCTTCTCTTCTGTCATTTAACTTTCTGGAAGTTGTCTGGTCATTGCTGGACCCGACAGTTAAGCTGAAGCTTTACCAGTGCCCAGTACCTTGTCATATGGCTGATTTATGTGTCTTTCAGTCCCTCTGGTAGGACTGCTTTCACCAGGGATGCCAATGTCTGCTTTCAACAGTTAATTAAAAGCAAAGAGAATGAACTGATGCCAAGAGAAGCCAGAAATTCAGCTGGCATAAACTGATGCAATGTTTTAATGTCCGTAAACAATACTGACTTACATTATCTGAGCATGGTGAACCTACCAGGTTTACAAATGCCTTGGCATTAGAACATCCAAGCTTCCTGATCTGTTTCACTTCAAGTGCTGCTTCTGCCAACTGCATCTGTGCCTAAACCTAAACCTGCTTCACTGTTCTGATGGAAATAAACCACTGGCATATGAATGATTCATGCTTGCATAATTAATACTAAGTGTCTAACCAGAAGCAATTGCTGCATGAAGTATTAAAATCATATTACATCCAAATACTGCTGTATTTTTTGGTTTATGGATACTAGTGTTTAAAACTCAGTAATCAAAATACTATAATTAATTGCTTCAATTCTCCCTAAAAGTACCAGCAGTGCATTATATTCAGTGTTACCAGCTCTGATCAACTCTAAAATAGGAAACCACATTCCACTGATTTGAGGCATCACGAAAGAATCATAAAGTTATCCCAAATTACAATGTAATTAAGATTTACAAGTTGCATAATTTATTTCACATGTATAACAATTGAATTTTAATTAATGAAACCTGAGTAAATAGTGCTAATTAGCAGTATTTTCAGAAGTAAAAATGTTTCAACAATCAAATTTAGATAGTATCTTATCTTTTTCTTACCATTCTTTGATGGATTGTTATTCCACTCCCGCATTTTCAGATTTCCTGGTCTTCTTTTAGGCTGTACTTGACTGTGGGGGAAGAGACTGAGGGGGTTTTTTATAGCTGAAAATCTTTAGTTGATATATCATATTATTCCATTTTAAATTGTTCTTATTTGATCCAGGGTGGTCCTCAGACTTGCTTCTGCATGTTTTTATCTACGTCTTGGTTATATATTCATTTAACTTCTTGTGCAACAGAAAAAGCATGTTATATTCATGGAATTGCAAGACTAAAATTTAATTGCAAGATTTATCGGTTGTAAAGACTGATTTCTACAGTCTCATTTATGACAGTGCAACTTACTTGCAGGCTCAGCTGAAGCCTTTCAAACTAAAAGAGATCAAGGAATAATTATTACAGTATGCCATAATCAGAAAAACATAATCAGCCAACACCCTTTTCTGTCACTATTACTTAACATTTATATAGCAGTAGTACCAAGAAATAGAGCTCTGCTGTTTTAATGATTATACTGTCTTGTTTAGGTGTATCAGTAAATCCTCTAGCTTGGTATGGTGATGGGAAAAGACAACCTGAATAGATAATTATTCACAATGGAGATTAAAGGGCTTAAAATTTGATCCCTATCTGAAAGCTGACAGGGTAGATCATTCCATGTCATCAAAACAAACCAATATGAAATTGCATTGATTACTGTAATTACTACGTAGTCTCTCCAACTGCTATCCTACCCAAAGTCTTCAGTAGGACTCTTCTGAACATGGTTACTACACTCATTTGCACTGGCTTTGTTAATAATACATTACACAAGAACACAATACTGCTGATGTCTTTCTATGTTAGTATTTACTCATTGTCATGTAACTTCTGAAGGTCATATGTCACTGTAGTAAGTGGTCTGAGGAAAACCTTGAAAAATAGCAATTTTTTTTTCTTTTTCATTTTTTGTTGTTGAAAGAGATCTTTATGCTTAAATGGAAACAGCTCACAGGATTGGGCTATCAGAGCAGCAGCTCAGGACTTCGCATTATGTTACATTGACAACATCTTAGCAAATGAGAGACTGACAAATTGTTTTGCCATGAAAGCATAAACTATACAGAATATTGTAGAATGCAGACAGCACAGGGAGACACCCGCCAGTCTCCAAGGACTTGCATTTTTGTTATTGCTTACAATATTTTTTATCATTTCAGTGCTAATGCAGTGTTTCATTTGGGAAGTGTTTTTTTCCCTTCTCCCTCGAACAGAGCACCCAGCAATACTCCAAGACCAACACCACTTGTGCTTGTCAAGTGAAGTAAAGAAACTGCACACTGCTGTGTTCCAGAGGCTAGAAGCTTTCTTAGAGGCTAACACCTCAAAGACTGGAAGAGTCATCCTGCAAAAAGAACTGCATGGTAGGTATTCAAAGAGGTAACATTTAGGAAGATCCAGGATAGACTTTAGGTAAAGGTCTCCACGTGTGAAGATGGATACATTTTATCAGGGAAGCTGGGAAATACCCCTCTTGGTCTTAACAAAAAAAATAAAAATTAAAAAAATTAATGAAACAAAATCATGTAGATTTGACTTTTCATTGAGGATGTGCCAGAGGACCTCTCATAGCCCCTTCCAGTTCTGCTGTTGGGGTCAGATCTTGAACTGCTGCTGAATTTCTCACATTTGGGTGGACTATATGGGGCTGTCTATTAGTACTGATTTCTGTTTACCACCCTTTGACAGGATAAGGTTTTAACTACTTGACAGTCCTGGTACTCAGCAATACTCTGTAAATCTTGTGTTCATTAAAGTTTCAGACAAAGTAATACCTTTTAAGTATACTTAGAGATAGATTACAAAAAATATTAGACATCGCCAAGTTTCAAAGTTCAGCTGTTCTGTAATGATGTGTTTAAAAAGAGTGTGTGGCACCAGTTTACTATGCAGAGAAAGATTATTTTTTTCAACTTTCAAACATGAGCAGAGAACAGGAAAATGGTTTTTATTTAGCTTGTTACAAGCAGTAATTAAGGAAGCTTTCCACCAAGATAACAGACATAAAGCTCTAATTCCAAAGAGAAAATAAATCCAGAAAGGTATGAATTAGTGAAAAGGGACATAAAAATGAAAGTAGCCTTAAAAGCGTTATACTATAAAACACAGTAACATAATACTATTCTTTGTATCATATTTTCATACACTAGTAAAGCCTTATTACCTACTTCTGTGGCCCACATTTTCATGGATTCTTTAGTATTCTCTGATGCAATAAATAGTCATTAGAAACACCTGTAGGACTGGCCTCTCCCAAGTCACCCAATGTGGGCTGTTTCCTAACTACTGATTTCTACTATTTTAATGGCACAAAGTATTCTGTGTTTTGACATGGAAATCCTTATCACTCTAAAAAGGAATTACAGTATTCATCCAATCATAAAATGATATTATGAAAGCAGCTCTTTTGCTGATGTGGAGCCTTTAGAGTTGCTTGATGTTATTCTGGTAACACAATTTGACTGGATATACATTTTGACATCCAGGAAATGGGGACAGTGATGGACTCAGTGCCAAAAGAAAAACTGGCTTCAGGAGGACACCTAGGGAATTAATAGGTGAACTGGAAAAAAAAACCCTTTCCCAAGGGTCAAAATTAATAAAGCGGGAGAGGAGGAGGGGGAGAAGAATGAAAAGGCAAACACAAACCAATTTTTTTATTTCTTAAAAAAACAAATTTTGATACTGAGAGGAATTTCAGAGCTCAGTAGACATCAGCTGAGAAGTCGTAAGTTTCAACCTGAAAAGTTGACATTCAATATTCATATTTCTGTTTCTGCCACAGTTGACAATAACTGTATTGATAATGTAGTGTACCTCATTATTAAGTATCCTTCATTTTAACACTTTGAGTCTTTTTCTTAATTTCTACCATAAGCATGCTCCAGAATACTGTGAACAAGATGGCGTCCTCAGGGGAACTAGCATTTGTAGACATTTTTCTTTTTATGGACATTTCACTGCAGAAAACAAGACCTTCTTCACTCAACAGCCTTTGTAAACACTTACGCTTTCATGTTTTGGAACTGTGTTTATATATGGTTATCCTGTATCTCCAAGATAAAAGAAATCTGGGTTTGGAATCAGACAGAGCCATACCCTTTCATATATTTTGTCTATTCCAAACCGAGCATTTGTATGTATCACACATTGGTCATTTTCCTGTCATTGAGTGATAATATATCATAGGTACGGGACTTTTGATAGAGCTTAAGGAAGGACTGTGTTAAGTAATTAAGTGCCAAGAATTTGGTATGAGCAGAGGTAACAAGGTCCTCGAGGTAAATGGTGACATTTACATATTTTCCACCTGCTGACATCATGGCTCCCTTTGCCCCAAATCCAGTATTAGACTATTTCTAAAGCCCCTCAGAAAGACTTAAATATTCTTATGTTTTTAAGCAGTCTTTGAAGTTCCTGAGCAGCAGAACTTAGAAGGTAATGTTGTGTTATATTAACTTACATGATATTATCTTGTTAGAGTAGATATTGGATCAGGGCATGTTATATTAGTATTATATCATACTATATTATATGTTATATTCTAGTATGTGCTACTATATTTTCATCAATTCTGCAATATTACATTAGGTTGTATCACATACTGTTATACTACAAGATATTCTATTGCAGTACAACATATTACACTTTAATAATATATTATATTTTATATGACATTATGTTTTGTAATGTAATTTATTAAAGTCTAGTATAATGCTACTGTATTGTAGTCAGCTATATTTAGCTATATTTAGGTGAGTTCTAGTATGTTCCATCAGGTAATTCTTTTTTTTTTTTAGCCCAGCCTAGCCCAGCCCGCTGTGTTCCAGTGTGTTCTGCTACATTCTAGTATATTCTAGTGTGTTCTGCTATCTTCTACTATATTTCACTATACTCTGATATATTCTAGTGTGTTCTTCTATATTCCAGTATATTCCACTGTGTTCTGCTATTATAGTATGTTATAGCATATATAATCATAGAATCGTTAGGGTTGGAAAGGACCTTAAAATCATCTGGTTCCAACCCCCCTGCCATGGGCAGGGACACCTTACACTAAACCATGTCACCCAAGGCCTCGTCCAACCTGGCCTTGAGCACTGCCAGGGATGGAGCATTCACAGCCTCCCTGGGCAACCTATTCCAGTGCCTCATCACCCTAACAGGAAAGAATTTCCTCCTTATATCTAATCTAAACTTCCCCTGTTTAAGTTTGAACCCGTTACCCCTTGTCCTGTCACTGCAGTCCCTAACGAAGAGTCCCTCCCCAGCATCCCTATAGGCCCCCTTCAGATGCTATGAGGTCTCCACGCAGCCTTCTCTTCTCCAGGCTGAACAGCCCCAACTTCCTCAGCCTGTCTGCATATGGGAGGTGCTCCAGTCCCCTGATCATCCTCGTGGCCCTCCTCTGGACTTGTTCCAACAGTTCCATGTCCTTTTGATGTTGAGGACACCAGAACTGTGCACAATGCTCCAGGTGAGGTCTCAAGAGAGCAGAGTAGAGGGGCAGGATCACCTCCTTCGACCTGCTGGTCATGCTCCTTTTGATGCAGCCCAGGATACAGTTGGCTATCTGAGCTGCAAGCGCACACTGCTGGCTCATGCTCATTTTCTCATCAACCAGCACCCCCAAGTCCTTCTCCGCAGGGCTGCTCTGAATCTCTTCTCTGCCCAACCTGTAGCTGTGCCTGGGATTGCTTCGACCCAGGTGTAGGACCTTGCACTTGGCATGGTTAAACTGCATGAGGTTGACATCAGCCCACCTCACAAGCGTGTCAAGGTCCCTCTGGATGGCATTCCTTCCCTCCAGGGTATCAACCGAACCTCACAGCTTGGTGTCATCGGCAAACTTGCTGAGGGCGCACTCAATCCCACTGTCCATGTCAGTGACGAAGATGTTAAACAAGACCGGTCCCAACACCAATCCCTGAGGGACACCACTCGTTACTGGTCTCCAGCCGGACATTGAGCCATTGACCACAACTCTTTGTGTGTGGCCATCCAGCCAGTTCTTTATCCACCAAGTGGTCCATCCATCAAATTGATGTCTCTCCAATTTAGAGACAAGGATGTCATGTGGGTCAGTGTCGAACGCTTTGCACAAGTCCAGGTAGATGACATCAACTGCTCTGCCCCTGTCCATGAGTTCTGTAGCCCCATCATAGAAGGCCACCACATTGGTCAGGCAGGATTTCCCCTTAGTGAAGCCATGCTGGCTGTCACCAAGCACCTTGTTGATTTTCATGTGCCTTAGCATGCCTTCCAGGAGAATCTGCTCCAAGATTTTGCCAGGCACAGAGGTGAGACTGACTGGTCTGTAATTCCCCGGGTCATCCATTTTCCCCTTCTTGAAAATGGGGGTTATATTTCCCTTTTTCCAGTCATCAGGAACTTCACCTGACTGCCATGATTTCTCAAATATGATGGCCAGTGGTTTAGCAACTTCATTCGCCAGCTCCTTCAGGACCCGCAGATGGATTTCATCAGGACCCATGGACTTGTGCATGTTCAGGTTTTTAAGATGGTCTCGAACCTGATCCTCTCCTACAGTGGGCGCAAGGTCTTCATTCTCACAGTCCCTGCATCTGCCTTCCAAGACTTGGGTGGTGCAGACAAAGCCTTTGCCAGTGAAGACCAAGGGAAAGAAGTCATTCAGAACCTCAGCCTTCTCCAAATCCTGTGTAGCCAGTTCTCCCGAGAGCTTCTGGAGGGGGCTTATATTGTCCCTAGTCTGTTTTTTATTCGCTAGGTACCTGTAGAATCCCTTCCTGTTACCCTTAATATCCCTAGCCAAGTTTAATTCTAACTGGGCCTTATCTTTCCTAACCTGGTCCCTAGCTTCCCAGACAACATCCCTGTATTCATCCCAGGCCGCCTGTCCTTGCTACCACCTGTTATAAGCCTCTTTTTAGCCCCCAAAGTTTCCTCAGCAGCTCCTTATCCACCCAAGGAGGTCTCCTGGCCCTCCTGCTGCACTTCCTTCTAGTTGGGATGCAAGACTCCTGAGGTTGTAGCAGGTGATCCTTGAATATCAACCAATGGTCTTGGCCCCCCTGCCCTCTACGGCTATATTCCATGGAACCTTACTAAGTCTTCTGCTGTATTCTAGTATATTCTGGTGTGCTCTGCTATATTCTAGTGTATTCTGGTGTGTTCTGCTATGTTCTAGTATATTTTGGTGTGTTCTGCTGTATTCTAGTATGTTCTGCTGTATTCTATTATGTTCTGCTACATTCTAGTTTGTTCTGCTGTCTTCTGCTAAATTCTAGTATATTCTGGTGTGCTCTGCTATATTCTACTACATGCTAGCCCACTATATTCAGTCCACTATATTCCTAATTACTTATATTAATTATATGTTTATTGTTCTCTCATAGCCTTCTGTAGGCATCAAGTCTTGGCAATAATGGACTTTTGGTATCCTTCAGAATGGCCATGCCTATCATTCTTGGGGGGGTGGGGGGTGGGTGGGAAGTCGAAACAAAAGCCAGTGAAACTGTCATTCCAAAATACTGTGAAACAAATTTGTTAACAAGAAATGATCCTGAAATCAAAATACTGAAAAAAGGGAAGATAGACTACTGAAGAAGGGGAAAAAGAATATTTCATCAAAGTGCCTCGGCTTTATTTTCCTTAGTTCTTGTCTAGAACATTTCCATTGATAGAGTTGCTAAGTGCATTCTGTTTACAAATATAAACACTTGATTTTGATCAGCAAAAATGCATCAGCACACTTGAGCAGTGTCAATGATGACATAATTACACTCACAATTTCCTCTCTGTAATGATTTTTAAATGTCAGCAGTCATTTTTTGTCTAATTGTAGCCTGCATGTCAGCACTTCCTCTTAAAACAGCATGTTCCTCTCTGCTGGAATTTCACACCTCTCCACTCACTCAGTCGCTTCACCAGTGAAGATAATGAAGATGATACAGGGCTCCAGGATATTTTCACTTCTGTACTGTTTTACCATTTAATATCAAGCCGGTAGAATGAGGACTTTGGGGTGGAGGTTTTTTTAAGTACGAAGTTTGATCAATTAAGCTCTGAATAATTATTTGAGTTTCCTGAACAAATCCCAGAGTAGTCTTTGTATTTCGGGCCCCCTGCTGGTGCTTTGCTAATAACCTGTTAAAATCATGGGTTTGTGATATAAATATTCCCACATATCTGTACTGTAAACTTACTTACCAGAGAAGAAGTTTGCAGTGGAAGACAGTCTCTTGATCAGTTCAGTGTTTCACATGGTGCAAAAGCAGGTGACACTTTCACAGCAAAAGCAGCCTGTTCAGAGATGCTATTGCTACTGTCGCATGCAATGACCTACAAGTGACTTTTGAAATGCTATTTTGCATGGTTCCTGGCCTCCAGAGCCCACAGCATAACAAGTAGGTGCATCTGGAGTCCATCTCAGTGCTCTCTTCCTCGTTCCATAGATCACAGACCACATCACTAAGTGTATGGAAGTGTATCACTTGTGCAATAAACTGGCAGCTCAGCACTGAGATTAGCAGCAAACATTTTCCACTCACCTGAACATATACTGGAATTGGAAACAGAGGCCAAAAAGTCCTCCTTCAATCCAATTTGCATACAAGTCATCTTCAGGTATCTGACGCTGCTTAACTCCAGGGTTTAGGAGATAAAGCTTATAATTTACTGGCCCATTTAGTACCAAAATAGGTGAAGAACCATGAAGAATGTACACTGTGAAATCAAATAATGAAATAATGTTGAGATGTCTGATAAAAAACCCTATTATCGTCTCCAATTACAAATGCACACACCTACACAGAGATGTAGCAACCCTACTTATATGTCTGCATGGCTCCCCAAAAGATACATGAATCAATCAATGATTGAACAAATAAATTGAATCAATAATGTCTAAGTATGCAGCAGAAGTGCGATTTCTAAAGTCCACACAACTGTATATATACATATAGGCACATGGGTGATTATGCATGTGTTCATACAATACGAATGCTGACCTGGTCGTCTTTATAGTTTATGCTGCATTTTGCATCCTACACTTTCAATTTTCCTTTTAAACTAAATTAGTGACTCAGAAATCTTCTGGAGCTATTGCAAAGGGCAAGAATTTTTTAACTATTGCACCCTACACACTTGTGAGACATATGACTATGCAGAGACAGTCTGAAAAGAGATGCTTCTGGGACACTCCACTGCAGATGTCCACAAGGACCAAGTCATTAAGGAAACAAAGCAAATCAAAGAAACTAACAGCCCAGCAGTCAAAAAGGAAAAGAAACCAAGTCTTTGAATAATTCTAGGAAAATATGAGTACTGAAGCCAGAGGAAGACCTGCCATGGGGAGCACAGTGAGTGCAGCTAGTTTGTCTATGCCTACGCTTGAGGGAACAGAAGTCAAAAAACAGAAATACAAAAAGCTGAAAGACTATGGAAGAGATGAACCTGGAATAAAGAGACACTGATCTAGAACTTTCTTTCTCCCCTTATTTTTCCTTTCCCATTTTTGTACCAAAGAGAAAAGTAGGCACTATTAAAATTAGTCCTAAATTGGTTGTAATATGCTCAAAGGGAAGTTGACTACACCAGAGCTTTAGCACAATACTTCCTTTTCCCTGTGAACAAGCTTCACTTCTATGCACAGCACTACAAAAAAGATCAACACCTCTGTGCCACATTGCTCAGCTAAAGCTAAATAGAGAAAAGGGAAGGCAAGGAAAGAGCCATTCCTACAGTCTTCTGTGGTTCAGGTGGCTTGCTGAAGGTGGTGATAAGGACTTTTTATGGCTAATAATGCAAAGAAGCTACTTTGAAGAGCAGGTCCATCTGTTTTTATAGAGAAGCAAAAAAGGACATTTACACATAAGTTTGACTCAGGTACACCTGCAGAGGACAACGCAAAGCCCACACAGTTACCTGAGTTAATTCTCAGTTACCCTGGTTTTATGGTTATTGCTGAGTATCTTGGTTTGAACCTCAAGCTTTTTAACAAACTAACAAAGACAAAGCCTTTCACTCACACAAAACTACCCTTCCCCCCCCCCCCCCCGCCATATTTGAACATGAGGAAATTGGCTAAAGGGGAAATGAAGTTTTTTGTTGGAATACACCTAAAGTATTGGATGATTGATATTTCACATAGGAATTAAGATTATGTTTTATAATATTACAGTCAAGCATTCCTATAGTTTCAGACAAATATATAAATGCTTGAGAGAATGACACATTGTTCATTTAGTGTATAATGGTGATAAGTTCAGCCTGCAGGAGTACAGAAACATTCCCTATACCAAGTGAAGCAGGTTTATATGTTTTTACATTAAGATTGTTATGGCCTATGCCATTTGGCAGATTATTCATGACTCGGTCACTGTATACAGGTCATTGACTTCTGCTGCATCTGAAGGTGGTTGACATCTCTTAAAATCATGCCAAAAGTATTTCAAGTTGGCCTCTCAGAAAATAATGCGTGTTAAATTAGAGACCATATCTGAAAACTTCAGTGGATTTGCTTAATATGAACTTGAACTGAACCTCAACCTTACAAAATGGGGCATATTAAAACCTAAAGACAGCTGAATGGTAACCATGACAACAGTACTTCCAAAAACACATAAGTGAAGCCAACATTTATATATACCGTGAGGGATAACACATTATTTTGTACTTTTATTAATACCAGTTCATGCTCTGTGCATTACTTTTAATTAGCAAAACTGTACATTATGCAGGTCTTTCCAGATATTAATTTACCTTTGATTTTTTTTGTTACTCTGACAGGTCTATAAAACATGATTGATTAAAATGTTCCAAGTTTTAGGTTTGGGTACAATATGGTCTCAAAACATTGTCTCAGTTCTCAAAGTCTTTCTTTTGGTAAAATTTGGTGCTGTAACTACGGACTGTGTTCCACTGAGCTGTAATATTGGTTAGAACAGCTTCTGGTTTTTTTTACATTGTGACAAAAAGAGTGACATTTTCTCATTACTTTATTTTAGGAAAAGGACTACCAGTTTTTCAAATAGCTCATTATATTAAATTGGACTTTAACTAGATGTCTGTCATCTTTCAGTCCTTAGACTAAAGGACCGTTCTTTAGTTTGGACCCTTTGACAGCACTGAAGTAAAATGCTTTATGTCTCATTTTTATAACCCATTTCACCTCAACCAGGGTGCTTTTTTAATTCCCTTTTCTCTTACAGCTCTTTCCATCACTTTGAACAGAAATATGTTTAGTTGTTTCTTTGGGGTTTGGATGTATTTTTGTTTGGTATTTTTTCTGTTTTGTTTTCTTTTTTTTTTTTTTTTCTTAATACCCTGCCAAGGGGCATTTTCCTAAATGAGGATTTTCTAATCTTAATTAGTATCACAAATACATTTCCTGCCTTTATATTCCTCCAGTGAAAGGTTGTAGAGAGCAAGTCACTGAATTCTGCATGTCCGGTGGGACTGTGAGGAGCTACACACTCCCCTTTCACACAGTGAACAAAAGCCAAATTCTTGCTTTTTTTTTTCAGGCTTGAAATGCTAAAGCTATAGGTGCAGTACTGAAGGCTGAATACTGATGATCAGGCCTTCTTGGGTGGTATCAGGGTAATGCTTGATGTAGCTCTATAATTCATCTGCCATCTTTTCTTTTGTTATTACATTGCTTTTCTGGCCTCTCACACATTTACTTAATAGCACCAATAAAGTGTTTACTGTTTCTTTGGAGATCTAATGAATTGCAAATACAGTGTCCTTTCCTCTAGCAATACTACAGCATAAATAGTTCAGGTACTATGAAACAGAGGCACTGCATATATATGTATGTTATGGCGGGGTTTTTTTTATATTTATATATATAAAACACAGTCCACTGACAATGTGCCTTTGTCCGTTAACTAGTCTGAGATATGCCTTTGGGATTGGCCACCTTTATTAATTAGCACATTTAAGCAATAATGTGCCTTAGATTGCAAAAAATCTGTACTTAGGTACTAATAATACACATCATTCTTAGCTCATCTGTTACATGCTGTCTTAAAGTTTCCCTAGTGATCTGCAATCATACCTTTTAATCCACTCTAGGCTCAGGGAACTACACCCGGCTTGCATTTGGCCTGTCCTCAATAGCTGTGCTTACAGTCTTAGAACAGTGATTTAAGTGAGACTTACCTACCCTTCAGGGAGAAACCTTAAATGTGATCTGGTGTTTAACTTATTTTGACCTCCTCTGTTTAGAGAACCTGGTTGGCTTCTCCCAGGCTAAAAGCAGAGTGTAAGTTAACAGGTAAGTAGTATGGATGAAAGAGGATGCCAATATCTGATGGTAAACTGCTCCCCAAATTAGCAAGCTTGTACAGATGCTATTATAACAAATTGTCTAAAGTTATAGAGAGACCTCCAAAACTTGAATCTATGCAGCTTACCTGGTCTTAAACATAAGGCTGTATTATTTCTTTACTTTTCAAAATAAAGACACTGAAAAGAAAATTTCCTTGCCTGTTCAACTTGCCTATTACAGGGTATGTGTTGTTTGGGTTGGATTAATTCTCAGACATATAGGCAGCAGTTGTTAGGTGTATGAGTGACAGGTGAAGTGATGGCAGTGTTTACCTTCTATTGATCTTTTCAGTATAAATTATCCTTTCCTTAGTGTGTGGAACTCTGTTCTGCTTTGGGGACAGCAGAAATATACAACTCAGTAAATCTTATCTCCACCATGATGCCCCCCTCCTTTCTTTATCTGGCACTTAGTTCATAAATGCTACTATAAAGTTACAACAAGACGACACTAAGAGCACAAATGCACTTCATTAATTGTTCTACCAATGAGAAATTCAAGAACAGTGACGCCCTGGAGACTTTACAGGACAGAAGAATCACGGCATGAGCAGTAAAAACCTGTCAAGCTGCCCTCTTGGCATGACCCTCCCTCTGGTTTTTCATTGAGCTGGGTTACCGGCCCTGGGCTCCTCCAGGACATGTACTACTGCAATGGCAACAGTTTGTACCTGCTGCTGCCACCATGTATCCTGCCATCAGCTTCTGTAACCAAAGCCCATTCAAGCTGCTGGGCTGAAGTCCAGCCTGGGATCAGCCATAGCACTGCTACACCTTTGGGTGTCACCAACACTAACTGTAAATGGCAAGCAAGGCCCTTTCATAGGTATCTGGGGTCATCATACTCCTTCCACCTTAAATGCAATTGGCCCAAGGAAACTTGACATTAAAAGCAATGTTAGCTGGGATTTGTGTTGTTGCGGTGCTGTAAAATGATTAAATGGAATATGTAGAAGCAGCAGCACGTGCCAAGACACCCTCTTGCCTCCCAAGCATGACGGTACCACCACATCACACAGTAAAAACCTAAGAGTTACCAGCCCAGTTGCAGGAAGTATCACCATGTGTGGCTCTGTGCCTGTGCTGGTCTGGGCACAGTGCTACACTGATGTTTGTTTCTAGCATCCACACTAGGTGGGTTAGTGCAAAATCCAAGCTCTCTGCAGTAAGATTTAAATTCCGGTTTGTAGAGAATATGGAAAAGAGAGGCTGTCTGTCTTACAGTCCTCTGTGAAAAGTTACTGCTTCCCCAAATGCTTAGGATCTTCAGCAGACTAGCAACAAATTGACTTATTTCTCCAGTAAATTGGGAAAACACATCCTTTACTTCTGCAGAGGTTCCCAAATAAAGCACAGCTGGATGGCTGCCAGTAAAGCCTCAGTATAGTAGTTGGCTAGGGAACAAGGATACTCTGGCAACCATGTGTTAGAGAGGACGCTGCATAACCTTTAACAGCCTGTTGTGAGCTAAGGCTGGGGGAGGGGGCTTTTGCTTCCCACAGATTTACATAGGAGCTGCTGCAGAGAAGAAAATGACAATGGAGTGC